CTCAGCCCAAAACACACACATTTCTGACTTGAGTTTAGGGGCTGGGGATGTAGCTCAGTGGCAGGGCCTGGTTCCATCCCCGGGACCACAGGGACACACACAGGTATTCTCTGAATTATTTGAAGGTCAGCACAGGACTATGTGGTGGCTAGAAACAGCTAAGTGTTAAATGTTAAACTCCTAGACTATCATAGAACGATTTTTGTTCCTGCACAGTTCCTGCTGCGGCTCCATAGCTTGTTATAAAACTCCTCTCGGGGCTGGAGAGATGGCTCAGTAGAATAAGTGCTTGCTTCCCTGGCAAGCTCAAGGGCCTGAGTTCAATCCCTGGTACTGCAAAAATTTAAAAAAACATATTTTCAAACAACAAGAACTCCTCTCCTCCTCTTACTCTTGGGGCTGTTACTGTATTGTGTGTGGCAAGCGCAGAGCCACATGGAGGAGCCTAGGAGAGAGGGTCGACGAGTTCGGATCAGACAGGCCTGGCCCACACCCGTCTCCTGGTCGGGCGGCTCCCAAAGTGAGTAACCGTCTGGTCTGGACGTAATCTACATCATCACCTAGAAGCTTAGCAGGAGTCGGTACAAGACTGTGAGGACGGAATTGGTGGGGTTTTATGACTAAGACCTGCTACCTCCCATCTTGAGTTCCCTTCAGGAAGGCAGCGTTTGAGTAAGGTTGTTCATTTTGCAGTTAAAAAGGGTGAAGGCACTGTTTCTTAAAATTTTTTTTTGTTGAGAAATAGAATTGAATGTTTATTTTTGGCGGAACCAGGGATTGAACTCAGGCCCTTGTGCTTGCCAGGGAAGCGCTTATTCTACTGAGCCATCTCCCTGGCCCCTAGAATTGAAACTTTAAAAGTACTGGTGTCAAAATTCCTGTGGAGAACTTGGAAGGCTCTTCATGTTCATTTTTATGGTTTTTTCTAGGTTTTATTAAGTCTTACATTATAAAGTGCTAGCACTGAAGTAATGTTTTCAGCTGATCTGATTATTTTAATCTTTGTAAGTTCTCATTCACAAAAATAGCCTCTGATGTCATATGTGAATATTTAATGAAAGTAACATGTATGAAATACCTGTAGTAATTTTTGCTGTCTTCTGTCTGGCCAGGAAGTGGTTATAGTAAGTGCCACAAGAACGCCCATTGGATCCTTTCTGGGCAGCCTTTCATCCTTGCCAGCCACTCAGCTTGGTTCCATTGCAATTCAGGGAGCCATTGAAAAGGCAGGTCAGTAGGTGCTTTGCTTTTTGTGTTCAGGGGCGAATGACTCCGGGAACCCCTGTTTATTTTGTACTTAGTGTGTACACAACCTAGAAATGGCATCATGCCTGCATTTCTGAACTCCTTTGTAAAAGTCTTTGCACTATAGTTAGGAATCAAACATAAAACTGACAAAAACCATTCCTGCTATGTAATGTTCTATTTAATAGGTAATCACTGAGTACTAAATTGAATAAAACATGGAACTGCTTTTCTGGTGTTTTGAAAAGGGATTCCAAAGGAAGAAGTGAAGGAGGCGTACATGGGGAATGTGCTACAAGGAGGCTCGGGACAGGCCCCTACAAGGCAAGCGGTCTTGGGCGCAGGTACTAGGAATATGTTTTTGTCTTTATACCTAAAATGTTAAAAATGACATGGAGGTCATTCTAGTTTAAATAAAATATTAGATATTCATAGATATTGGCAGAAAAAAATTTGAAGATTATCATAATATGCTGTATTTGAATTTTGCAGCTGTGCCTGAAGAGTTTCTGTTTCTGAAGTGTCACATGTGTTGCTTTTAGGGTTACCTATCTCTACCCCGTGCACCACTGTGAACAAAGTCTGCGCTTCAGGAATGAAAGCCATCATGATGGCCTCTCAGAGTCTTATGTGTGGACATCAGGTAAGAGCATCACCTTATATATTAATTATAGTATTTTGTCTTAAAAGGCATTATAAATTATGCACATGTGCTCTTGAAATGAGATTCTTGTAAGTTGCTGTGTTATTTCCAGCACTCGGAATTACCTGGATTCACTTCCACTGGAGCATAGGTCTGAGTGCTGGGGGCAGTGCCTTGTTCAGCTGAGGTGTTTTAGTCTGGGAGTGAGGCTTCAGGTAAGTTTTACTTTGAGATTAGGTAATTCAAAAAATAAAATGAATATTAAATTCAGATTTTTCCAGAATGAGCGTTTGTTTTGCTTTTCTGAGATAAATCCTCATTTTGTGGCTTGGGCTGACCTTGATTCACAGTGATCCTCCTAGGGCCGGCCAGATAGTTCAGCGGACTAAAGCGCCTGCTTAGGCAGGCATGGGGACTGGGGTTCGATCCCCAGGGTGTGCTGAGACACAGTTGAGACTGGGCGTGGTGGCACATGCCTGTAATCCCACTGCTTGGGAGGCTGAAAACAGGAGGATTACACGAGTACTGATCTGTATAGTGAGATTCTATACTAAATACAGTGATCCTTCTGCCTTAGCCTGCCAACCGCTGGGTTTACAGACATGTACATTATGCCCAGCTAAGGGTTTTTATCAGAAAGGAGGTAAGAGCTGACCCTGAGAATCTGATCATTGGCAGAGCCCAGGATGGATGACTAATTCATAGTTCCTACAATGCCCTGATTGTCATTCTAGACTTTGTTTTTATCTCACATGTCCTTGTAACACTGCCAAGACAAAAGTCAGTTGCGAAGTGTCTACAACTTTAAGTGGTGTAGAAGATGTAAAGTGCTTTTAGAGCAGTGTGGGGCAAGTTGGCTCTGTGTGTCACTTCATGTCGGTCTGCTAGCACCCATGGACAGCATTTTATTTGAACGGAATACACAGTATATTTGTAGGTCCCTATTAAATGAGCATCTGCGTCGTCTCCACTCGTTCATTTTCAGTGCTGGTGAAGTTCTCTCTTTCTCTGTCACCAGCTCCACTGACCATAGTATAGTGGGTATAAGGAGAAAGTGTGGAGCTAGTTCATGTCCTACTTTTGCCCCTTTTAACTGAGTATCTACCGTGTAACACTCACTAGCAATAGAGTGGCACATATTAAAGATCCACTTATGTGCAAGTCTTTTTGAAAAAGCTCTTAAAAGAAATGAAAGGATTTTAAAGAGTTGACATTTTGCAGATACTGTCCAAAAAAGTTATACCTGCAAAATTTATGTGAGCCTATCTGATGCTAATCACTGACATCAGGCGTTAGCAGACCCTTCACAAGAACCACCAGCCTCTTCAGTGAATGGCACTGCAAACACTGGCTTTCCACATGCTGAATATTAAAACTAGACCCATATTGCTTCACATGCACTAAACTAAAATTGAAATGGATCAAAGAACTAAATATTAAAACACACACTAAGTCTGCTGATAGAATAGGTAGAACTTGAAGACATCTGTATAGGCAGAGACTTTACGAACAAAACCCTGATCACACAGGAACTCTCACAAAGAATCAACAACTGGGGTCTCATCTTATTAAAAAGCAAAGCAACAGGGCCAGAAAGATAGTTCAGTAGAAGAAGTGCCTGCCTCGCAAGCGAAGGGATCCTGAGTTCAATGAGGGCCGGGGAGATAGCTCAGTAGAACAAGTGCTTCCTTGGCAAGCGCAAGGGTCTGAGTTCAATCCCCTGGTTCCACCCCCTCAAAAACAAAAACAAAGGAGTGAAGAGAGAACCCATACTGTGGGAAAACATTTTTGCACGGTGCTCCACAAAGGAATACTGTCTAGAATATAGTAAGAACTAAAGACTCAGTCCAAAACTGGGCATTTGAAATGAATACACACTTCTCAGATGAAATGGCAAATAAACATACGAAAAAATGCTCATCATCACTGGTCATTTGAGAGATGCAAATTAAAAGGACACTGAGATTCTATCTCCACAAACAATGGATATTTTTGAGATGTCAACCAGTAACAAATGCTGGCGGGGCTGTGGGGAGAAAGGAACCCTTCTGCACTGTTGGCAGGAGTGCAGACTGGTGCAACCACTGAGGAAGTCAGTGTGGAGATTCCACAAAAAGCTAGGATTGGAGCTTCCATTTGACCCGGCTATCCTGTTTAGGTATTTTCCTGAAAGTTAAAAACATTCCACAGTGACATACTGCACACTCATGTTTATAGTGGCAGTTGCTAATGGCCAAATCTTGGAAACAGCCCATATGCATATCAGCTGGTGAGTAAAGAAGTGTAATACACAGAGCCCTACTCTGCCATTCAGATAAGCTGCAGATGCGTCTAGCGAAGGGGATGCACCTTGAGGTCATACCCTTAAGTGAAATCAATCAGATACATGCTTCAATAGCAGAATGTTTCTCTGGTGTGAGAAAATGTACACATGAAGACCAAAATGTGTAGTATTCTTTGGGAAATGGGAAGAAAAAGCCCAAAGGAGAAGGGGAATGGGAGAGAGAGGAGGGAGAAAGGGAGGGCCAGGGAAAAAAATGACAGAAGGAAAAACTGGGAGTAGAGCTTTTGCAAAGGAGCTTTTCCCAGTAGGAGGGTTTGGCACATAAATAGAACCACCAGAGAGTTATGCTGTTAACAGAGGCACTGTATGGTAATTGGGAAACTTCCAAGAGAAAGTGGAGAAGTACTCAGGGAAGCCTTAAGTGGTGGTGGTTAGTTTTAAAGAAAATGTAGGGGCTTTTCCTTTATGGGAGGAGAGGGGCGCGGGGCGGTATGAGGGGCTCACGCGTGCTAGGCAAGTGCTGCACCAAGGAGCTACGTGGCGGCCGGAGCTTAGGCACTGTACGTTCTGGTGGCTTGGTCAGCCAGCAGAGGCAGTGATGTCTGAGTGAGCGCTGTTGCCTCTGTAAAGTTTCCGCTAGTTCTTGAGGACCTGAGGCTGAGGCAGACAGTGGGACTGGCAAGGGAGAAGGCACATTGTAAGGGCTTTTTATACTAAGCTGAGCGTTCTTTAAAGTGTGAGATGAGATGAATCCTAGCCAGGCTGGCCCAGAGGAGCACCGCACAGATGATGCTCTTGTGGAAGGCAAAGGCCGCGTGTCAGATCAGACAGTAGCTGTCTGGGGAAGTTTAAATCATGGAAGCAGAAGGGTTATATACGAGAACTGAGACTGCTTATAATCTTTTAGAAGATATTTACTGTTAGCAGTGTCAGTAAAATGAAGGGTTAGAATTTCAGGTGATGGTACATAAAAGATTTTCAGATATCAATTGAATCTTAGTTTTCACTACACATTTTGTACTTTCATCCGGGCTAGCTGGTAGAGGGGATCCGGAGAGAAACCTAGTTATTAACTTCATGTTGAGTCCTCACTTGGTGACAGCGGTGTGCCCTGCATCTGCTGGGTCTGCGGCTCTGACCTGGGGCCTTGTGTTGCTGCGCAGGACGTGATGGTGGCAGGGGGCATGGAGAGCATGTCCAATGTGCCCTACGTGATGAACAGAGGCGCGACGCCGTACGGAGGGGTGAAGCTGGAAGACCTGATAGTGAAAGATGGGCTAACTGATGTCTACAATAAGATTCACATGGTGAGCACTGGTTCTTAATGGGGCGCCACCAGGCATGGGCCTGGCTGAGGTCAGAGACGGAATTACAGCATGGGTTCTGTGAACGTCAAGGTAGCCTTCAGGTTGGGAGGTGGTTTGGTTGCTAAGCTGCCTCACACTTTTTCTTCCTTTTTCTTGTTTCTGACAGTCTCACTCAGAAGCCTAGGCTGGCCTCAAACTCTTGGCACTCCTCCTGCCTCAGCCTCCTGAGTGCTGGGATTGTACCACTCCTGGTTGCTCCATATTTTTTAAAAAAACTTTTTGTTTGATATAGGGTCTTGTTTGCAGTTCAGACTGTAGGGATCCTCATGTCTCAGCCTCCCCAGCACTGGGATTACTGGCGTACACTGCCACTCACACTTGGGGCCAGCACAGCATTCCTGGGGTTCCCTGACTGGCAGGGCATGCAGTACTGGTGACTGAACTTGGCTCCTTGCACTTGCCAGGCAGGCACTTAGACCGCTGAGCTATCTCCCTAAGCCACGCCCCATACTTTCATAAGGAAATTTCTGGCTTCTGAAGTAGAAACTTCTGGTACAGTGCAAGTGTTTAAGAAGCATATGTAAAGAGTTTTAAAAAGCTAAATTTGGGGCCAGGGAGATGGCTCAACAGAATAAGTACTTCCCTGGCAAGTGCAAGGGCCTGAGTTCAATCCCCAGCTTTGCCAAAAACAAAACTAAATTTTTTTAACTGCTAACCTTTGATTTAAAAGTTGTGTAGTTTAAAAATAATTTCCCATTTATTAGGGTAACTGTGCTGAGAATACTGCAAAGAAGCTGAACATCACAAGAGATGAACAGGATACTTACGCTATAAGCTCTTACACCAGGAGCAGAACAGCATGGGAAGCTGGAAAATTCGGAAACGAAATTATTCCGGTCACAATTGCAGTAAAAGGTAGAAGGGCAATGTTCCCAAGTATTTATTCCTTTGCCTTTAATTTGAAAAATCTTATAGATTTTTATCTGACGTTGGCCTGACATCTACACGTGGGATCAGCAGAGTGGGGTACGGGGCCCTGGATGGGGGCTGAGAGAACAACAAGGGCGTGTGGCTGAGCAGGAGGTGGACATTTCCTTAACTGCTAGTAAGCCAGTCTTTAGAACACTAACGTACTAGGGACGGTACAGCGGCTTTGCCCGAGCAGCATTCATTCAGGACGGTTTAAGGCAGGGATCGAAAGAGGGTCGCTGACTGCCAGACACCTTGGTGACTGTTTTGTCTTGAGTGATTACTTAAAATACTTTTGTTTTAGGTAAACCAGATGTAGTGGTAAAAGAAGATGAAGAATACAAGCGTGTTGATTTCAGTAAAGTTCCGAAGCTGAAGACAGTTTTCCAAAAAGAAAATGGTTAGTAGCAAAACAAATCAAATTATATACTATATTGATTTTGGGCATTTCTAAGGATTTTATTCTAGGGGCATCTAGATGTTAAAATATTTTTATTATATTAGACAAACCATATTAATCCGAAGTATATTTACATTTGCTTAATAATTTGTATTTTTAATATGCAAACTGCAGGGCCGGGGAGATAGCTCAGTAGAATAAGCGCTTGCTGGACTGAGTTCAATCCCCGGTTCCACACACACACACACAAAAGTAAACTGCAAAGGAGGGATGAGTCATTTAAGGTTTCTGCCCCCACTGTGGCAGCACATACTTGTCATCTCGGCACTGGGGAGGCTGAGGCAGGAGGGTTATTGCAAGTCTGAGACAACAGCCTGGGCTACAAAGTGAGCTCAAGGCCAGCCTGAACTGCATCATAAGACCTTGTTTGAAAAAAGACAAAACAAAAACCAAAAGTAGCCTTTTCATATGCTGTTCATCTTGAAAGTTTGTGCCGTATAACTTCCCTAAAGACTAAGTGGCTAGCTTCGTTTTTCACTGGTTCATCTTTAGCACTTGCTTGGCGTGTAGTGGAGTCTACATGGCAGCCAAGTATTCTACCACTAAGTTCTACGCTCAGTTTTCAAGTTGCCTGCATACAGGTGTGATAGTCTGAAATTAAGTTTTTCCCATTTCCTAACTGACCTCAATTCTAGGTATAGGAATAGATACCTCTTTGTTTCCCAACATATTCTGTAAAGTTATATTGCTTGAGTGTATTTAAAATAATGTCACTCACTGTCTATTACAGGGTGGGTTCATGGACATTTTTAGAAGTACATCTTCCTTGGACAGGGGCTATGGCTCAGAAACACAGCACTCACCTGCTAAGCACGGAGCCTTGCATTTAATTTTCCAGTACAAAAAATAGTCAAACAAAAAAATTTGCTAGACATAGGAACACATCTATAATCTCAACAGACCGCAAATTTGAGGCCAGCCTAGACTACACAGAGATCCTATCTCAGCAAAACCAAAAACAAACCCCAGAGCTCCACAGCCCTGTCATTTACATACTATAGAATCCTCTTGTTTAAATTGTTTAGTGGGTTTTTAAGTATTCACTGACATTTAAGTCAAGTGATTCTAGCAAAGAAATATCTGATTTTGATATTGATTTGGAAAATACACAGTAAATATCTGCTCTTTTTGCATAAGCCAAGAGTTAGATGCTGGGAAGAAAATATGAACAGTAGCTGCTGAGCAGCACTTAGCCAGGGCCATCACGCGTGTTTCTGAGCTGAGAAAACTGCTGAACCCTACCACCAGGTCTGGGCAGCTCTGCACACGCTCCGAGGGCAGGAATGTTTTCCTAAGTTCTCTATCCCAGACATGTACTCTGGGGTACAGGGACGCGGTGCGCAACTGTGTTGACTCTGTGCTTACTGTGGCTTTCAGGCACCGTAACAGCGGCCAACGCCAGCACGCTGAATGATGGGGCAGCTGCCGTGGTCCTGATGACTGCAGAGGCAGCCAAGAGGCTCAACGTTAAGCCGCTGGCCAGAATAGCAGGTAGGCCTTTGGCTCTTGTTTATTTTTAAACTGCTACAGGCTCTGCCTGAAAGTGACTTTCTTTGCGGGGGCAATATACACATGCGGAGTTGGCTATTTCTTCCAGTATGTTATACTTTGTGAAGCATTTAACTGATACATATTTCAACTGAGACAGAAACTCCTTTGATGTTTTTGTTATAATTTGCAGATAAAACAAAAACTGAGCCAATCAATTTTTAATAATGTCATCTACCAAAACTTACATGAAAAATAGAAAAAGGGAGCTTGGGTTCTGCACCCCACATGTAAAAGATAAAGCTTTGGATGCCTGTAAAAGATTGCCACAATCTCCTTTCCAGCGTTTGCGGATGCCGCTGTGGACCCCATTGACTTTCCGGTTGCGCCTGCCTATGCTGTGCCCAAGGTACCGGCCACCACTGTGTGCAGACTGCTGGTTTGCATGTGATAAGGTCACAGTTTCACTTGCAAGAGCATCATGACACCTTCGCATTTTTCCTGAAAATAAGGGTAGCCCACCAACTATATCTGCAGTAGAACACATTAAAAAATGACATAGCCGAACAACTTCTAAGTACGATGCTGGGTGCCCCTGGTACAGAAACACAAAGGGGAAGCTGGTGGGCAAACAGGGAAACAGCAGCAGTCCACATACAGAATTCAAAGCCAGTGGTCATTCCCAAGGAGGTGTTCTCCATCCTGGAAGGGAATTCTGGCAGCAGGACAAGAGAGCAAGCATGAAAGCAGACATAACACCCACATCCTCCCAGCTGTCAGTGTTAGCAGAGGGGAAGTGCAGGAAGGGCTCACAAAGAAGGGCTGAGGAGGGAGGGGAGAGAGGAGAGGCTGTGGCTCGAGGCCCCTCTCAAGAGAGGGTTTTATCTTGAGAGTGGGGCTCTTGAGAATAGCACCTAGAAAGAAAGGGGTGTATGACTTCTCAAGAGTTTCTTTTACTAAAGGGCCCTGGAATATTTTTTCCCCCCTAGAATATTTTTTATGAAAGTATTAGCCTAAGAATAATCACTAACACAGAAATACCTTCATACAGCTATCAAAATGTCATAGTCAAAGACTGCACAACAGACACATGCTCCACACCACAGCGTGGCCGTGTGGTCCAGGCTGGGCTTGAGCTTGCAGCAGTCCTCCTGCCTCGGCCTCACAAGGGCTGGCATTACAGGCACGTGCCACTCTGCCTGCTATCCCATAGCTTTTTAAAAAGGGGATACAAGGAAAAACCACCAAAGAGGAGAGATTTACTGAATTTTACAGATCAAGAATATGAAACTGCTGGGCATGGTGGCACATGCCTGCAATCCCAGCACCTGGGAGGATGAGGCAGGAGGATTGATCACTGCAAATCTGAGAGCAGCTTGGGCTACAAAGTGAGTTCAAAGCCAGCCTGAGCTGCATAGCAGAGCCTGTCTCAAAAAGATAAAAACCATGAATATAAAACTGACATTTAGTTTTGTCTTTATAAAATCATTGTTATGTCTATAAAATTTTATATTCAAATAGTATATACTATATATCTTCTTAAGCATTTATGGAATGT